TATTTAGGAAGACCCGAGTAGAGAGGTAGCCAGATCTTTGATGGCCCTACTGTAAAGGCTAGCCTTATGAAATGAATACCAAGGTCAAAGTAGCTAGACAGGCAAAAAGCTCTAGGTGGGAGGTACTACCAACCAAGTCACTGGATCGAGCTGAAGGAAAAGGATATCAGCCTGATCTGATATATCAATAGATCAGTCATAAGTCCTACTAGGCTATCTGGATTGGGAGTTTGATGAACTGGCAAGAGTATACTAAAGTATTTCAGATATGCTGTGAAGTAGATGCTGGGGTTTGTGTAAACTCTACAAGGGCATAGTAGTTTAATGATTAGCTTTGACCACAAGTATTGGTTCTGTCATAGCAATACCTAGGTCAGTTATAAAAATAGGTATAGAAGGCTCTAGGAGGTTTACCTCAAGGATAAATTAGTACTAAGGTTGAGGATGATGATCTGATACATCTGAGATGACCAGTGATGTTAACACAAGTTACAGGTTCAGAGGGTTTAAAGTGGAACACCCAAGCAGGGGTGTTAAGTATGTTAATTAGTGGGAAACCTTCAGACGGATTCCTTAAATAGGTAATATAGAAAAGTTACATATGTAGCCAATTGTACGCTCTCCTGTAGTGGTTCATTGAACCACAATACCGATAAGTAATTAATAAAAGTCAAAAGACCAAAGAGGTCACCTTAATACCAAAAAAAAAAAAAATAAAAATAAAAACTCAGAAAATTATAAAAAAAAAAATAAGTTTTGTTGATTTATGTTATATAGTTTCTTATATAAGCATTTTAATTTTAATATAAAATTATAAGCAAAAAATTTTTTTTTGCTTTTACAATTAGATATAATTGAATAAAATTAATTTTATATTTTGCTAGCTTATGTTTGTTTTTAAAAAAAAATTTAATTTTTATAATTTGTTAGTTATTTTCTATTTTAATGATTGTATTATAATTTAATAATATTTAAATATTCAAGTTTATTAAAAATCAGAGCTAGAATGCCAATATTATTTCTTAGTGTTATTATTAAAAATTTATTAAAAAAAAGAATCTATGCATTGCTTTGCTAATTTAATCAATATTAAATTTATAATATTAAAAACTTTTTGTTTAGTTAAAATTTTATCTAATAACTTTAAGACAATAAATTTTAGTAGCTTAGATAAAATTTTAATTATTGATTCAGAAGTGATATAACAATATTTTATAAATAAACACTTTCAGCTAATTTTAAATTTGAAATGCATTAAATAACTTAAATTCAATAAAAAATTTTAGGGCCATATGCAAATTGATCTGATTATTTATATGAATAGCATATATAACATATATAGTATAAAATTTCTTGATAAAAATCTTTTCTGCATGAACATTAGCATATGTATAGTATTTATAATTACTAGATAATTTATTCAAAGATTATTTAAAACACTTTAAGTCATAAATATTTTAAATCTTAATTCATGATCTGTCGATCAATAGTAAATCTATATATGTTAGTATTATATAAAATGTGGAGATAATGAATAAACCAATTTTATAATAAATTTAAAATCTCAAAACTTTTATATTTTAAATAAGCAAACATAAACTACAAGCAGTTCAATTACTTTCTTTAGGCTCTATTGTTCAGGAGTTACACTATAGACCTTTTGCATGTAATTGGTGGATATTACAAATATATGAAAATTTAAACAACAGTCTGTCAAGCTTATATCCTATTCGAAAACAAGTACTTATATTAACAATATTGAGTTTGTTATAAGAGTTGTTTAACAAATTAAAAATAACAAAACAATACATGGTTATATTTGTCAAACACCTGATTATATTTGCTCTCAAACTGGGCAAGATTCTGGCCCTATTGAAAATGATTCAAGTACTGCTATTACTAACTTATATTGAAGAATTTTTTCAATAATTTTACAAGATTATTAGGTTCTCTTATGATAGGATTAGATAATGATATTATTTTAAAAGAAATAATTTCAGATCTAACTTTTTAACCAGTTATTTTTTCATTAGAAAAATTACACATAATAATTCATACAATTGGAGTTTCTAAATATGAAGACTGGAATTGGGCTGGGCTCGGATATACTACTTTACTTGTTTATAGAAAAAATAATTTACTTTACTTGCAAGGTTTTAAAAATAATAAATGTTATATTCAAACATATACCGATAAAGGCTTATTAAATACAGTTTATGGAAAAGATCCAAATGATGTATGGAAAAATTTCAATGTTTTAAAAAATTATAATGAACTACAGCTTTATAGATTAGAGGAAAGTTTGACAAATAAATTATTACAGCATATATGACAATTAGCATGTTTATCTAATAAGTGGTCTAATGAAGATAAAATGAAACAGTTATTTGATTTTCATCTTCACAAAAGAACTGCAAGCAATATTGATTGGTATTCAATTTTTTATGATTGGCAAAAATCTACTAATCCAATTATTGAGTTACATTATACATTAGCAAATATATATTTAGTAAATTATGTATTCTTTGATTGAGAACTATGTGCTTGGCATGTGATGTTAAAGGCATGTGGATGCACTAAAATTACACTATTCAAAAAAGAAGAATTAAAGGTTAGACTAATTTATTATTAAATTAAATATATTACAATATTGATTAATCTTAATTTACTAGTATGAGTTTTGGAGTAAATCTAAAGATTGTACAAAAGAAAAAAAAATATTAGCTATGCTATATGATTTTGGATTCTTATGCAATATACCAATTACAATATTTAATATAACTGAAACTTTTTGAAAATGCTTTGTATGAAGTCTTGATAATAATAAAAGAGAATCTAATGAAAAGCTTAGAATTTTATCGATAATAGCTGATCAGTTTTCATATCAAGAATTACAAAATAAACTTCAAGTAATTAAAAGATAGATATTTATAGTTAACATGATATATTACTTACTATATTATTATTAACTAATTAGAATTCGAGGTTGTAAATAGTCATATAAGATCTGGGTCTATTATTCTTTACTAATCATGAATTTGAAGAGTGTGGGTCCCATAGCTTAGCGGTTAAGCTTCCATGCCCCCACAGTCAAGGTCAACAGTTCAAGTCCGGCTGGAGGCAAA